CCATTATTTGGGGCACAAATTTTACCCATTTATCTAGGCACAGCATGAAGACGCGCAGAGGATTTTCTGTGTGAAGACCTCTTCCTCACTTTTTGGGTGTCATTCAGCATTTTATATACCTCTGTGATATCTCCCTACCTTTTTTTCTTCCCCCAAAGACTTAAATACTTTAATCTTTCCACAGAAAAACATATATTCCAGTCCCGGTTGCTCCTTTCTACACCTTTCACCAGTAAGTTGATTCTGTTTTTCAGATTTAGCAAGCAAAATTATACATAACATTTCAAATGTTGCCAATCTGTAAGGATACTGGATGAATTGGGGAGGGGGGAACTTTCAATCCCTCTCATAAGGACTATTCACCTGGAATTTGCCTTTTGGTTATTTGCAGCACTCTGCCTTAACAATTTCATCAACCAAACCTTTTAAACTTCAGTATTATGACAGCCTTTTGTACATAAACTGTATGATCCTTAAAAAAGGGCTTTCCCACTCCTTAAAGCTTTTCTGCACTCCCTTTTCAAAGAGCCTTCAGTCCCTATTTCTGTCATTTCTGTTCTTACAAGGAGATTCTCCCAAATGGTGGTGGTGCTTTTGTGCCTGTAATAATGGACCAGTGAACAGATGAATTCAGTTTCAATAGTTTTTTAGTACGTTCCTTAACATGATATTAGCAAGGATTAGAAAACGGGGAAAAGGTTGATCATGGTGGCATCCTCTTGTTCTGATTTAATTTTTTTAAAAATAATTCTTATTAAAGATTTTTACAAGAATAAAAGATGAATATGAAACATATATGAGGAAATGTTAAGAAAAAGATAAAAGAAAAAGTGCAAGAAATGTTAGAGATAAAGAAGAAAAAGATATTTAAAACGACTTCCGATCTTTACAGCAGTTACAAGAAACTTATTGTTTCTCCTCCCTCTTTAAGATTTTATTACATAATTATCTTCTTCCCATATTCAACCTTTTTAAATCAGCAAATCCAAAGATCACCAACTCATTTTTTCCCATTTTCCATAAAGGGTTTCCAATCTTTTATAAAAGTACTTATTGTTTTGTCCCTGTTCAAACAGGTCAGTTTTGCCATTTCTGCAAGTTCTGCCATCTTCACAATCCACTCCTCTGTTGTGGGTATTTCAGTATTTTTCCATCTTTGTGCATATAGTAGCATTGCTACAGTTACCATATTCAAAACCAATATTCTATAAGTATTTTCTAATTGGCTGTCCATAAGTCCCAGTAAGAAAACTTCTGGTTTCATCTGAATATTAATTTTTAAAATTTATTGTATCATCACATGTATTTGTATCAAATATATATACACACATATATATTTGCTTTTTTGCAAGTCCACCATGCATGATAAAATGTCCCTTCATGCTTTTTATATTTCTGACATTGATTAGAAGTACCTTTACACATCTTAGATAATTTCTCTGGTGCCATATACCAGCAGTACATCATTTTATAGAAATTCTCCCTTAAATTATAACACAATGTGAATTTCAGTCCTTTTAATTGTATTCTCTCCAGTTGGTCCATCTGTATATTATAACCAAATTTCTTAGCCCATTTTATCATTCACTCTTTAACTTGTTGTTCTTCCATTTCAAATCTCAACAAAAGTTTGTACATTTTAGCAGTCAGATGTTCATCACTTGTACATAATTCAATTTCAAATTCTGCCTTATGTTGTTCTATCTTTTCTCTTATGCCTTATTCTGTTAGGTATTTCTTTAAGTAGAATTACATCTGAATGATTAATCCTTAACTTAGTATTAAAATGTTGTTGTAGAGCCTGGTCTTTTGTCTTCCTGACTAAGTACACAAGTATATCTCTTGGTACGTTTTTTAGCTTTGCATATCTTGTATTAATTCTGTACATTTTGTCTGCTTCTGCATCCATGTCTTCATCCAATTCCAAAAATTTTGTTAAGGATTCAACGACCCTCTCCCTAATATCTTCACCAGGCTTCTCTGGAACTGCTCTCAGTCTCAAGCAGAAGTTCTTTCTCTTTTAATTCCAGTAGTGCCACATTATCTAAATCTTTTCCCATCTCTCGGTTTATTATTTTTCTCTTATTTTCCAAAATTTCTATTTATTCCTTAATTTGTTTAACCTCTCCAAATTCTTCTAATTTTTTATTCATCTTTTCTTCCATATTTGCAAAGCTTTCCTCCATTCTCCCTTCAAGTGTATCCAGATCTGTCTTGACAGATTCAGTCACTGATGCTGTAACATTCCTCCCCACTTCCTCAGACATCCTTTATAAAATCTCTGGTGTAATCCCGTTTTCTGTTATTTGCTCTGTTAATGATCCTCTTCTCTCTTCTGTGATTTTTGCTGCTTTCCTGGTAGTAGCCATTTCTCTTTTTTAATTTATAATCCAGAAAAGAGGAGTAAAAAATAAAAGAGAGCCTTTTTTTTTTCTTTCTTTACGTCCTTAACTCTTTAGTCCCATTTGGCAGTGCACAGTTCTATGGTCACATGATCTTTCACAACTTTCCCTTATCTCTTTAACAAAATCAGCCAATCATCCTTCTTAGGAAATTTAAACAGTCCTTGTTCCCACAGAGGTATGTATTATTTAATAAATTCGAAAGTACTTTGAATATTCCCAGTTCAACTGTTCCCTTATTCTGTTTTAAACTTTCATAGTTCAAAATCTTGGTAAACTTTTTGCTTTTAGTTGCTTTTAAATCCTTATAATTATTTTAGTTTTTACTTTAATCTTGCCCTGGGTTGAAGGATAACGTACCAGGTTACGTTCCTCAGAAGATCTCTATAGCTTTTTAAGTAGTTGTAATCCAACATGTGCTAGAAAGTGGAGTTTGGGGTGAACCCAGTGTCCTTAATGCAGGCTCCGCATGAGGCTGCGAGCTTGATATTTCTTCTGCTGCTCCCAGCGCTCTACTTGCAAGTTGCCCACAGGCTCCTCTGGATCCTGTGGGTTTTTTGCAAGGAGCTGCCTTCTGAAGCACAAGTGGGCAATCTCTTGGCTTTCCGTTATCCAGAGAAGTTCTGCAAGTCCAGGCTTGCTGCCTGGCCCCAATCTCCACATCAGCTTCATCCCTGCTCCTTGGAGATGTGTTAGTCTGCCATTTTCTCCACCTGGAAGCCTCCTGGTTCTGATTTAAATTGAGGTACTCCAAGGAAAGGAATAAATAGACCCATCTACTTTGCCACTGGCTTAATTCCCTAAACCCTTATACGCCACATGGTCCCCACTGCCATCCTCCCCATGAGTCAGGCAGCCAATCAAAGGGGGAGAGTAACATTGGCATTCAGCCAATGCTTCCCCTCCCACTGCAAGGAACTGGAAAATAAAGCCAGAAAGCTGCAAAATTGCCCCTTTGCTCAATTTAAAAAACTACAAGGCAATGGTGGTTGGGGGGGGGGTGCCCTGGTGCCTGGTCAGCAAAGAGTGGGGAATGTTGGGAGAACTGTTACCCTTCTGCCAGGAGAAAAGAGCATTTAATTTAGGTGAGTTTGTGATGTATTGTCGAAGGCTTTCATGGCTGGAATACGATGGCTGATGTGGGTCTTCTGGGCTGTGTGGCCATGTTCTGGTAAGTTTTGGTTCCTAACGTTT